TCCCCGTTGTTCTCCCACTCAATCCAGGATCTCCTACATAGATACCCCTCCGAGTGGTGACAGTGGTAGCCAGGCACCATCTAGTTCTTCTGGTCTGATGGTCGTACAGGCTGAGAATCACATGGTCTACCAGTCCCTTGGATTAATTATTGCCATACATCTGTGGTTTTCTTCATTCTTCTTTGCTCTGGATGATGAGAGACCCATCTTGGTATCTAGATGGCCGCTTGTAAACTTTTAAGATCCCAGTCACCACTCACCAAGTAGGATGTGGAACAATGTTTTTGTGTAGTATGTTATGCTAATTGAGCTTGATGTTTCCTGGGAACATTGTCTCAAGCCCACAGGTCCAACTACTCACTCCCTCCGGATAGCTGGCTGTGGCCAAGAAGTCACCACAACCTTGTCCCTTGTCAGCTCTACTATATACCTGCACACTCTTACAGAACATACAAATACGCTTGTAGAAACATCATCTGTCAACCCTGTACATGGTCATGGGCACACTCCCCCTGCCTAGACATACCTGATTATTCAGCCTGTCCACCCATTAATCCACCCCATAGATCAATGTTTGCCATCACTGATAATGTAATACTGTATGTACAAAACGGTTAATCTGTGTTGTCTGTATCTCCCATGTACCTCTCTATGTCTTCCTCTTCCTCAACGCCACTGTGTTGATCACTCACATTTGGTGCATTGTCCTTCCCTTCACCCAAATCAATACTCATCTCTACCTATCTAGCAGTGTTCCTTCCCCTCACTTTCCACCCCTGGTAGCCAACAAAGAAAGTTTCATTCCATATATAAACATTTCCTTGATTTTTCACAATAGCAAACTAATACAATATTTGTCCTGTGATTGACTTATTTCACTCAGTGTAATGTCCTCCAAGTTTATCCATGTTATGTGGCGTTTTGCAGATTCTGTGTTATTCTTCAGGGTTGTATAGTATTTCATTGTGTGTATGTACTATAGTTTGGTTATCCAGTCTTCTGTTGATGGGCACCGAGGTTGTTTCCATCTTTTGGCTATTGTAAATAGTGCTGCGATGAACATGGGTGGGCATATATCTGTTTTTGTCCTTGCTCTCACTTCTTTAGGATATATACCTAGTAATGAGATTCCTGGGTCAAATGGTATTTCTAATTTCAACTTTCTAAACAATCACCATGATGCTTCCCACAATGGTTGTATCACTTTACAGTCCCACCAGCAGTATATGAGAATCCCAATCTCTCCACATCCTCACCAGCATTTGTCATTTTCTGTCTTGTTGAACTTTGCTATTAGTGCTGGAGTGTGATGATATCTCAATGTTGTTTTGATTTGCATCTGTCTAATGCCTAATAAGGAGCTCTGGTGGCATAGTGTCTAAGACATTTGAGTCCTAACCAGAAGGCTGGAGGTTCAAACCCACTAGCCACTCCTTGGAAGGAAGATGGGGCAATCTACTTCCATAGTGATACTGCCTTGGAAATCCAAAGAGCAGTCACTATGAGTCAGATCTGACTAACGGCAGTGAGTTTGGTTTTTTGGAATGGCTAATGATCGTGAACATTTCTTCATGTGTTTGCTGGCTGCCCAAATATCCTCTTTGGTGAAGTGTCTATTCATGCCTTCTGCCCATTTTTAAATTGGATTGTTTGTCTTTTTGTTGTTGAGGTGTTGGAGTTTTCTACAAATTTTAGAGATAACTCCCTTGTCAGATACGTTGCTGCTGAATATTTCTTCCCAATCTGTAGGTTCTCTTTTTACTCTTTTGGAGAAGCCTTTTGAAGCACATAAAAAATTAATTTTTAGAAGGTTCCATTCATCTAGTTTCTCTTCTGCTATTTGTGCATTTTGGGTTATGCTTGATAAGTCTGTGTATGCTCCTAAATTGCCCTGATTTTTCCTTTGTAGTTTTAGAAGACTATTACCTATTCGTAAGGAGCTTTGGTGGTATAGTGGTTGTTGTTGTTGTGATGTGCCCTCGAGTCAGACCTGACTCATAGTGACCCCTCCTTGGGTTTCCCAGGTGATATCACTATGGAAATAGATTGCCCCATCTTCCTTCCGAGGAGTGGCTGGTGGGTTTGAACCGCCAGCCTTCTGGTTAGCAGTAAAGTGGTTAAGGCATTTGGCTGCTAACTAAAAGTCAGTGGTTCGAACCCACCAGCCACTCTGCAGAAAAAAGATTAGGCAGTCTGCCTCTGTAAAGGTTTATAGCCTTGGAAATCCAGTGGGAATGGCTATGAGTTGGAATCAACTCAATAGCAGTGAGTTTGGTTTTGTTTTTTGGTATTACCTATTCTTATAGTTATATATTTATTATAACCAGAAAGGAAATAAGTATAGAGACACACTAGGCAAGGTTTGGGAGAGTTCCTGGCACAAGGCCTCTATTGTTCCCAGAGACATGCCACTCCTTCTCCCATACATGGATACTGTAACTGGTTCAGGAGGCCCCAAAGACAGTGCTCCAAAGTCCCAGGTCCCCTACTCATTGAGATGTCAATGAATATGCATGACTTTGGCCTTAATGCATAGTTAAGTTCCATCTAGGCAATAAATATGCATGATTGCGTTAGGCCCAACCTCCTTTCCAGAAGTTAGTTCACCAGATGTGGAGCTTGTGTAGCCCCTATATGTCTGGATATTTTGAAAATCAAAGACATGACTGCTTGAGTTATTTTCAGAAACTAGAATCAAAGGCCAAACCAAATTCTTTATCTCACAGGTGAATTGAACCTATATGGTTGAGGTCAAACGAGTAAGTTTGTGTTAAATGTGTTAAATATGCTGACAGTGGCAAGTTAGTGTGTTTTGAACTGGATGTTGTGATTGGCAGTAGTGCCGGAGAGATGGGAAGTGGTTTTCCACTTGAAAGATAGTAAAGGCTAGACTGTGCTAGGGATGAAAAGAAGGGAAGCAATTCCAGAACTCAAACATAGAAGAAGCTGTGGCGCTTGAAAGCTGAGGGAGGTGGGCTTAAGCAGATATCAAGGAAGACTAAAGTTTCGACCTTAGAAGACCAAATTTTTTCAGGTGGCATTATTAGAAGAAAAGTCTCATTAGGGGACTTGGGAAAGAGGCAAGAAGTTTGGTAACTGTGTCCATGTATTGCACAGGTGGAGTTACTAAGTTGGTAGTCAGAAATGTTGGGGAAGAGAAACCATGTGACAATAAAAATTGGGGAGACTAGATGAAAACAGGAGAGTAGATGAGATTACCAAAAACATAGGAGGAAGTTGAAGAGCTCACAAAGGATAAGGTTTGACTAAAACAAGTGGATAAGGCCCAGTATAATAAGTAAAGAACTTACTAGGGAGGGTCCTGGAGAAGATATTAATGGACTCTATGATATGTTATCATTTTATACCTCATGACTGGAAATCTAGTTTCCCACAAGCTTTGTCAGTTTGTTTCTCTCTAGTACTCACTGTTTGTTTCCCAATCTACTCCTTAGGGTAGGAGTTCAACAAACATTTGAGTCTTAGAACCATATGGAAAGCATTACAGTCAGCTAAGGGAGGGTGTTTTACAAAAAGAATGTATCAGAGACATTCTACTCTTAGAGGATTTAAAATCTGGAATAGAGAAAAAAGATACCTAAAGATTCATACAAAACAGCACAGGAGAGGGTAAATGCCAAGAGAGGTAATTGTTGAATTTCATGATATAATTTCAGTCATTTGATGTAAGTTAATATAAGCAAGTGAAGAAAGCAGGAAGCTCTTTGCTCATCAGAGCAAGAAAGAGCCAACTTGGACAGCAGTACTTGCTTGAAACAAAATCCACATCTGATTAGTCAGCTGATTAGTCAGCATGATCCTAGAACTGGTCCTTGGTTTCCATGGCTACGCATCCTTTGTTATGTAGAGCACAGGTCTGCAAACTTCTGTTATTTACTGAAGAATACATCCTGGGTTGGGGTGTGAAGGGGATGGTGACATTTTCCTACAATGGTCCTCTCTCCCCTAGCCAGTGCTCTCTGATGCTAAGGGAGAGGAAAGACACCACCCAGCTTGAGGAGGGGGATCAGACTAAACACTGCAGTCTACCCTGCCCATGACAAGCTCCAAGTCAATTTATTCTGGAAGAGAAAAAGAAGTCTTGACACTGGGCCTCAGGGCTAGGGAGAAAGTGAGGAAGATGGGAACAAGAGAGCTCACATGTAATTTATCCCTACTAACTCCCCATTCTGTGCACAAGGTCCCCCCCAAATGCTATACCTTGTCTGGAGGTTTCCAGATTGATCCACCCTATGCTCCCCTCTGGAGAAACTACTTCCATTCATGAAATTCAACAATTACCTTTCTTGGCATTTACCCTCTCCTGTGCTGTTTTGTATGAATCTTTAGGTATCTTTTTTTCTCTATTCCAGATTTTAAATCCTCTAAGAGCAGCATATCTCTGATACATTCTTTTTGTAAAACACCCTCCCTTAGCTGACTGTAATGCTTTCCGTATGGTTCTAAGACTCAAATGTTTGTTGACCTCCTACCCTAAGGAATAGATTGGGAAACAAACAGTGAGTACTAGAGAGAAACAAACTGACAAAGCTTGTGGGAAACTAGTTTGCAAACCATTGGTGGGTAATCAGAATGGTCTGGGTATAGTTTTGTCTAGGAACCGAGATCTTTCAAAGTCCTTTCCAACCCAAGAATTCATGCATGAAAGTACGCTTAAGCTAGTGCCCTGAGAAACAGGATATAGTATAGTCTAAACCCAACATGGAAGCCCTATTCCTAAAGCAGCCATCACCCATGAAGCAAGAGAACAACTAGGAGAATAAACACGTCACCACCACTTAGCAATTACATTTTTCTACATCCTGAAAATATCCAGGAGAGTTGATGAAATGGCAGTTCTAGAAATAAATCTTCCTAAAATAAAACAGGAGTGAAACCACCTTAGTGTGATCCCAAGAAAGCAGCTGAGCAAGAGGTAGCCTGGGAGGACAAGAAAATGGTGATGAGAGGAGAGCTGGAGACAGCTCATCTACAAAAGATTGGAGTCCCAGGGTGTGCCTAAAATTAAAACACTCAGTAATAGGCTCATACAATATTTGTCCTTCTGCAATTGACTTATTTCATTCAGCATGATGTCTTTTACTGTAAAAAGACAAGGAAGGGTTTGCTTAAAGAAGGGAACTCACTTTATAGCTGAGGGGAGGGTTGGGGAGGGAATAATCTCGGGCTAGTTGGGGGTCACACGCTGATGTGAGTCAGGGAAGGGATGGTATGGAAAGAGTCTGTGATCAGCGTGGTAACATTAGGGAAAGCGGGGGGGGGACACCAAATTGTGCACATAAGATATAGATGACAGAGGCTAATACCAGTATATTCACAATACTGATTACCATTAACACCAAACACCAGGTTACAGATAAACACATGAACAACTGAGGACATCAGATGGGGGTTAGTGAACAGGATTATACTCTAGACCAAAGACTGAAAAAAAAAAAAAAAAGAAATCAAAACATTCACCTGCTAATGGGAATGGTGGAGGTTCAAGTCCACCTCAGAAGAAAGGCCTGATGATCTACTTCCAAAAAATCACTCATTGAAAACCCCATTGAGCTTACTTCTATTCTGACACACATAAAATGGCAGTTCTAGAAATAAGGTGCACCTTTGTCATGGGTCACCATGAGTTGGAGTCATCTCTCTAGCAAGTGGTGGTTAGATAAAAAGAGCAGTACTGATAACTAGAAGGAAGCTTGGGATAGAGTAGAACTCCATCCCTAGGCTGGCTATGGTGGAGTTTTTTTTTTTTTTTTTACCCTTAGCACCAAGTTCAGGGATAAACAAAGCTCATGCCTTTGCTAAAAAAGTCAAAGACCAGATTTTCCATGGGGCACCTTACACCAAATTT